TGTTTTCTTTTTGATGATTGATTCAGGAAAGGTGTCATCACTGCTTTCATTCCAATTCCAGATCATAGAATTTTTTTTTCAAAAGGTTTATCTTAAAGTCCTATTTCTTGGAACACTTGATAGAGGATGTTTTCATTTTTTGATGATGGATTCTGGGTAGATGCCATCACTGCTTTCATTCCAATTCCAGATCATAGTTTCTCTTGAGTCCTGTTTCTTGGAACATTTGGTAGAGGATGATTTTCTGTCAAGATCATTCTTAGCCACACCCCATCAGGACATAGGCAATCATGGCTTTCCACAGCTTCCTATTCCTTGTGGCCCTTAACAGTTTTTTACCTTTGCTATGTTTCCCATTCCCCATTTTGCCATTGCTGTATACCCCTATCTCTCTTGCCTTCAATATGGGTACTTTTCAGTGAACCCACATTGCTACTGCATGTGGCACAAGGTCAGTTTAAAGAGGGTTTAATGGCAATATCATGGGAAAATTGCCCAGCCCTCTTCAGCAGTTCCCCTTTTAGGGATGCCTCAGGCAAGAGGCAATAAATCCAGCCACTTCCTGAAGGAGAAATGCTACCTGGGAGAAGGCTAGCTTAATTTTTTAAACTTCCTGGAATTTGCCAGGTTGCTCTTGATATGTCCATTAAATTTTCCAAGCCCTTTTTCCTCATTAGAATTGAATGTCCAAAGAATTTCAGTTTTCTCTTCCTGGTTCTTGATTTTAGGGTTTTTTTTTTGGCCATTTTTTTTAAGAATTTGCTTGTTGTTTATCATATTCAAATTCATGGAGTTTTCAATATCCTTTTTTAGAACTATTTTTTTTTTTCTCACTTGTGGGAGATTGTTCAACATTTCACTGCCATATAAAAAAGGATGGATACGACAACATAGCAATCCAAAATGAACTATTTTTTGTTTCTAACAATTTTTTCCATTCCTCAACATTTTTTGGGATAAGTTTTCACTGATCTAATGTGTTTGGATCTTGGTGTTAACATTTTCCATCCTTTAAAAAATTTTATAAGATATTTGAACTGGGCAATATTGTTAGATGATTATATCTCCAATAAGAAAACTCGCATCTTTGATTTTTTACTCTTGAGGGATAACAATACTTTCTGTTTTTGAACAGTTGATGATTTGACTTTTTTTTTTTTTTTTTTTTTTTTTTTTTTTCTTCACTTTCCATATACCATGCTGTCTAGCAGGTCCTGTATTTTCCTTTTCTGAGTTGGCTATAACAACAACAATATCATATGTTATATTGTTTTGATTATGCCCACTAATAATAAAGTAATTTTCAGTATTTTTAGGATATCATTGCTGTAGAGGTTGAATAAATCTGGGAAGATGCATGCTTGTCTCATGCCCTTTCTATTTCTGTGTAGCTACTTAATTTATTTTCTCTCCATATATATGAGGCAGTTTGGTCCCAGTATAAGTTCTGGATTATTCTAGCATAATTTTGATTAGATTGAGTTTTTCAGCAGTTCAAAACTAGTTATTGGGGGAAAAAATTCATTTCCTTTCTTGTTTGAATACTAAGTGAATCATGCTAGAGAAACTTTATAAGACGTTCTTTGAAATGTCACTGAATATATGAACTCTTACCATAATCTTCTATGATTGTTTTCTAGATTAATTATGTCATCTGGCAAATTACGTGATTATTTAGAATGATATTAATTCCCATAATTAACATGGCACTTGGAACTAGAACAGTCTACCCCAGTGAGCGAAATAAAGGGTTCAGTTCCACATTCCAACCACCTGAAGAAGGCCGGAGCGTACAACAGCTGAAACGTTGTAATAAGTATGGCGACAAAGATGAAGACAATAGTCCGAATAATGTAAATAATTTCTCAGATATTTAAACTTTTTTAGCTTTAAGAATGCTTCTCTTGCTAGCCCAATGCAAGTTCGGATCTCTGTGTCACATATTAACATCCTCTGTTCAAACATTTCCCAGATATTTAATCTTCTGCACCTGCTTGATGCTGACATTTTCAATTTGTTTTGTAATTGTATCCAATTTCGTATCTTGGGTTTTTTTGCTGATGACCATACTTTCTGTTTTATTGCAGATGATGGTTTTAGAAAAAAAAATAGGGTGGTACAAGTCCAGAGCAAATCTCTTGACGTCCCATCCCAGATCAAATGACAAGTTGGTGAAAGATCAGTTGCAGTTAATAGCCAGATTATACGTCAATGCTGGAATATGCTTTTTGCTGACATCACAGTTCAACCCCCGACAGCTTAAACCCCAAAACTGATTACTTTGAGGAACAGACTCCCATGCTCATACTTCTCTAGACACTGATATTTAAACCTTTTCAAGTCACAGTTGTCTAATGACACATCAACCCTGATGGGTCATTTTACACCAACTTGGTAAATACTTAATATATTTTCTTTTTTCCAGTAGTTCAATGGACTCAGTTTGGTAGCTACAATTTGTTTTAATTTCTGTAATGTGTCACTTGAACCATTTAAGTTATATCTATTATATTTTCCAATGAAACATGACCCAGTGCACATATGTTAGTACTTTGTATGTCCATTACACAAAGTCATTCCTTGCAGATTGATCACAGATTCTCGATTGGATTTAAATCAGGAGAGTTTCCGGGCCAATCTATATTACTTTGATTTGCTCACTGGTAAGGCTTGCAAGTGTGTTCATGCAATGTTACAATTTTCATACGCTTCCTTGATGTAAAGTCCATCACAGACAATGGCCATAGGACAACTAATCGACA